TTTTTTTTTTTTAAATCAGCAATTGTGGCTTAAGCAGACATCTCCTTTCCTCTTCCCATACTTACCCACTTTGCTCTTGTGCCTGCATACACCTTCAGTTGTTTAAGTCTGCTGGGTTTTACTGAAGAATGAGAAGTATCCTTATWATAGAAATAGCTAAATTTTTTTAGACAGTTCAGTTCTGTTTTATTTCATTGTTTAGCAATAGTTTTACTGGTCTATAACCTGTTGCTACATGTTACATACTTCCTACTATTTTCATGGTTTTGTTAAAAAGATTTTATATCTCTGATCTTAAATGTCCATAAATAATCATGAGCTCTTGCAAAATAACCTTAGTGAAGAAGTCCTGMATGTGTAGTCTAACACTGGTCTGAATGTGAATTGTGGGCTAGACCATAATTTTGTGCTCTTTCCTTCGGCTTTAAGATGTGAATAATACACATTATCCTACTGCCAAATTGATAAAGACACTAATGGTACAAAACCAGGAAAAAAAAAGTTGGGGTTTGTTGTGATTTTTTTCAGAAGAAGGTCAGGTCTTTCTGACAAACCTCACTTGCAGGAGCTGAGGCAGTGACAGCCATTATTTGCTGAAGGAGCCTAAGCAGGAAGGTTGCACTTTTAACACTGCTACAGCATAACTGCTTTAATGGACTCTTTAAGCATTAACCCATTATTYTCTCAAAACAAGGCCCCAGTTTTGATTTTATTCATGCCATGGATCCGTACTTAGTGGTAGATTGTTATTGACTTGAAAGCCCTACTGGCGTGAGCACTGCTAAATCTAATTAATAGACTCGATGATTTTTATGAGAGTATCTCAGACTGGTAATTTTAGCTGAGCTGCTGCAGTTTCTTGCAATGAATCTGGTACTTGTCTTCTAATGAGTCAATTCACTAATTTGATAACACAGGCTGTAATTTTCTGTGGTTTAGGTTTATTTACACAGCCATTTAAAATACATCTGTGGTGATTAAGGATTATGAGAATGACTTAAAAAGGCTTCTCAATTTGATGCAGCAGTCTGAGTATGCACTTTGAATGCAAAAGTATGATGTTTTACAATGAACAGGTACATAAATGATGCTATTGTGAATTCTAGACTTTACAAATATGAACAGATACATCCTACATCTTAGATGATACTAAAACTAGAAGATCTTTGTTTTGGGATGCTGAGAAAGCAATTTTCCCCACTGGGCAATAGGAATGTAAATATGCTCTCAACATGACTGTAGAGAACACAACACTGTGCTGTTCAGTGATGTCTAGTACTCTGCTGTGAGGTCAGCATTCACAGTGGCAGTCAACAGCCACTGCAGGTAGTGGCTTTTGAATAAAAGGTCATGTTTTTCAATAGCCTCATTCTGATTGAAAGCCTGAAAGCTTCTTGGAACTTCTTGATCTCTGCAGTATAAAACCAGAATTAAAGGAGAAACAAGAGTTTGAGAGGTAGATATACAGTCTGCAAAAATCTCTTCAGGATACCAAATCCCCTGTTCACTTGAGACCTACAGAGAAACTCTACCCCAGAAGAAGTTGATGTGAGTTTTTCATTGACTTCAACTGTTTCAAGATATACACTTGATAGTCTAATAATAAAATCTATGAAGTTCACATCTCTCTATGTGTTCTGGGAATTTATTGTTACCATAATGGAAGTCAGSACTTCCCCCACAGTGCTGAGTAAAAAGCATTCCAGCTGAGTAAGAATTAGACCTTATAATTAGGGTTTTTCAGACAGATGGAATCACAATCCACCCAGACAAGAAGGAATTTATTACAGTAAACAGCTCTAATTCCATATTAGCATGTTTTGCAAAATCTGAATTCCAGATTTGATTTATTCCTTTTAAGCCACTCAGTCTTCCCAGTCTGGGAAACACTACAGGGCAGGTGAGATTCACCTTACCTGGCTTTACACTGTCACAGCATGAGTCCATGCTGGTTGCTTAGGCTGCCTTTTTCTCTTTGAAACACAATAGGCACTTTTCTTGCCTGTTTTAAATACAGGAAGAGACTCAAATGGTGCTGATAAAATTCTCAATCTCCCTTCAAAGGGATGGCTAATGTGTGGCAGTAATCAACTCTCCAAGTGGCATATTGGCAATATCTCAGTCACATCCTTATTTGTTCTGCTCCTCCTGCTTGCAGTTAAGAGTTTTGCTACTGGATAAAGCCAGAGTCACCAACTATATCTCTGTGACTAAAGATGGATGATCTTCGATTTGCTGACTGTTTTGGCCCAGCCTGTAACTTCATTTCCCTAGAAGAATATTCTAAAAGCACCAGTAAATTAAAATATATAAAACTCAGTAATTTTAAATTACACAAACAATACTTTGACCCCAAGCAATGTGGTGTCTATAGAGTTTTAGCTAAAAGTGATGCCTCTTTTATATACACATGAAGRAATCCCAAAATAAAAAGTTCTTGCAATCAGAAATATGTTGAATGTGAAATGCTTTGGTGTTAAAAAGAGGGCTTGGCCACAGTTTTTAAAATTCAGCTCTGTGTTTGCAGAGTTGACTGGAGCTTCAATCCTGCRCATATCCAAGCAAGACCCTATAATAAGGAATCAACCTATCCTTCTCGTCTAGGAACCTGTCCTATAGGTGTCTAGATCATGTCATGAGCCTCACAAAGGACAGCAGACACGTTTTAATAGTTCTTTATCATCATCGCAGTAGTAGTTAGGGTGGCTCAGATTAGACACCCTTCAGTTATAAGGAGTCATTTCCGGACAGTATCTTCCAATGTAAAAAGCTGAAAGAGGCTCACCCTAGAAACTCCTCTTTTGTTGTGCTTATGCTTCCAACACATTTTTAAGTGGMTGTTTCAAGTGACACTGTAAATTTGAAAACAGCCCTCAACTTTTCGAGTAGAGTTGGAATTTGGCTCGCGGCCAAAGCAGAACATGCGACATACGAGGCGACATAGGGACACATATGTAATCTGTGTAACTTTTCCATCGGAAAGGTTTGTGGCCTGGTAAAGGTTCCCAGGGAATATTCACAGCTGACATCTGTGTAGCAAAGGAAGCCCTCTGCTTTCCGAGCAGCATTAAGTTCGGGCAAGTGGCTCCTAAGTGCCTCCTGCGGACATGCTCCGCTGAGTAGCCGGTCTGTTTGCCGCCCTGTTCCCATAAATGCCTTGCTCCGTGCGTTTCCTCGAAGCGCCGTCCCCGGCCCGGCCCGCGCCATTGGCGGCCAGGGAGGTGTATCCCTCGGCCGGCTCGCGGTTGGCTGTGGCGCGGGGCGGCGGCTCCGCTGGACATCGGCCGGAGGAGGGCCCGGGGCTCTCGGAGAGCTCCCCTGTCCCGCCGCCCGAGGTAGGTTCGGCGCTGCCGGCGCTCTGGGTGCCAGCGAGGGCTGCCCGGCTCCCTGCGCCCTCCCGCCGCGGGGCTTGGCGCTCACACCGCTTCTCCCCCTGCCCGCCGCCGCCCCTCCGCCTTTCCTTGCCGCTCTCCAGGGATTCCTTTTCCCTCTCTCGCGTGTCCCTGGGGGCGGGGGGCCCCTCGCTGTCTGCTGGGCGCTGTGKCAGCCCCGGGATGCCCGGCGCGGTGTGACCGCTCCCGGCACGGGCGGTGAGGGGGCTCCGCGGTCACTACGGGCTGGGCAGGCCGGGGAGGGTTCCCAGCGCTGCAGGCTTGGAATGCTGAAGTTAGTTTCACTTTTACGAYGGGATATGGATATCTCTGTGCTGAGCCTGAGCACACACAGGGAGACATGCAGGCGAGCTGCTGGCCTGCCAGAGGTCACCCGGCTGTTTGCTCCCTGCCCTGACTCCCACGATCCCACTGCAGGGCAGCGCACTCCCGGCCCTTCTCTCCTTGTGCAAGTCCTCTGAGAGGGAAATTTCCTTCACCTCAGGCTTGGGTATAAGGTACAGTTTTTTTGTAAGAGCTGCTCTCATCTTTGTATTTTAGTGTGCAGAGATAGTGACATGGTGTGACAAGGCTTCCTCTCTTTTGAGAGGCATCATCATGCTCTTAGAGAACCCTCTTACCAAGAGAAGTGTCACAAAATACCTCCAGCTTCAGTACTGTAACCTGTGCTGGTGGATAAATGTAGCGATGGTCGGAAGACCACACTTTAAACTATTGTAGATGAATATGCGCTTCTGTTCATGCCTTTCTTTGTGTGCTAGTCCCTCTGTCTCAGCAAGCCTGCAGTTAAACAGGACCTTTTAACTCCTTAGGTGGATAGAGATTTCACAAGCTTGAGGCATGAGGACAAACAGGATTTTCAAAGTGATTCAGATAYAGAGATTCATGTGATTATCAGTTAAAATTGTGTTGGAAGCAAAGTTCACCTATTTTGAAGCCTATCTTTGTGATTCGTATCTTTTAATTGCATAAGTATTTGAAGTCCTTAGGCTCCTGGGTACTTAATGCTGGACCTGCCAGTGTCCCTGCAGAAATAAGCAGTGGTACATAGGCTTCACTGGGAGTGAGGAGGAGAAGATAGAAAATAAAGAGGTATTCCTCTGCAATGTGAATCTGTCCTAGTGAAGCTTCACTGTTTTGCAAAAAAAATGTGTTAGGGAGAAAACCTGTTTTTCCTAGGCACATATATGCTGACTGCTCAGCAGTTGTTAAAGTCTTGGCCTTATTTGGCCAAGAATTCATAAGAATTAATAATGTAAAAATGCTTGGGTTTGGGCTTTCTCTTTTAGCCGACTGCTTGCCTTATAGTCTGTGTTCTGCTTTCTTTCTTTGTGTTTSTTACTTTTGACTGTTCTTGATGCAATCTTTGCTAAGTACTTGGTCTTTTCATGTTTATGGTGGCAAATGAATACAGTTGGTAAATTTAAGTTTCCAGAATTCTTTTTAAGATTTGTAGTTAAAAACCTGGTACATARAGCACATTAAAAGCCTTCCTTTGCAACAGTCAAAACAATGAGTAAAATTGAAATTTTTTCTGTAAAAGGATACCTCATCAAACTAAAATGCAACARAGTTCGTTGAAATTAAGTTCATGTMTCATAAAAATAGGGGTGTAACTATAGTATGAAGTATCTGGTTTATGTTTTACAGCAGATGCTAAAGGAGACCAGAACTTTTTGCACAAATAATGTCCAAATCATACATGTACATGTATTCTTTTATTACTTTATCTTTGCTACCATCAGGCTTTACCATGCTGCGAGTCTTTAGTCACACAAATGGTAGGTGTGTGTTCCACCACTCTAAGTGTTGGCATCATCGTAAGTCTGTGCTGGCAATCAGGAGGGAAGATGTCAATGCCTGGGAAAGAAGAGCACCTCTAGCACCAAAGCATGTTAAGGAGTTGACAAAGATGGGATACAAGGTTTTGGTGCAGCCCTCAAACCGGAGAGCCATCCATGAAAAGGTAAGGTCCGTTCTGAGAGAGGCAAGCAAAACTATAGTTCAGTTATTAGTCATAGTACAGAAAAATAATATTCAAAGAGAATGAGAAATAAGAAAACATATAAACCCCACTCCCCCACCCCAAAACATGTAAATTTTGTAGTTAAACAAGGAGTTTAAAAGTGCTATTGCAAAGGAAAAGGAATAGTTTGTTTAGCCTTTTAATGTCATGTTGGAGCAATGTTGGGGTTTTGGAGTTATTTTTATTAATTTCTTGTCCTGTCATCTCTGTCCCTAGAAGTCCTAGGTGCTCTTGAAGTAGAAACTTGGGAATTCATTTAATATTGGTTTTTTGTCTTCTATTTGTATGAAAGCAACAACTCTAAAAAAAAAGGTATTTTTTGAAAGYGCAGGAAGGATCAATCTGGTGAATTGCACTCTTGCTTCAATCCCATTCCTCATGTGAAATGAGGAGAGAGGTTTTTTTCTCTAATGCTGTGAGCCTCAGGACAGAGAGCTTTTATAGTTCTTCCAGCAGCTGTAATACTCTATTGTAAGATATCTGAGAAAAGAGATAAAAACTGAAATGAAAACAGGGAACTAGTGATCACTTGCACATACCACCTTTTAATTAAGGCGCAGTGCTGGTTTTCATCAAAGCACATATACAATTTTGCAAACACATTTCTTTAGAAACTACTCTTGCGTTTGGACTTAGTCTTATGCAATTTTATAAAATCACAAGTCATCAGTCTTCACATTTTTAATTTGCCATATTTCTCTAAACATGTTTGCAAGTATTTGAACACCTTACAAAGGACTGTTCATTATTTCAATCTACATGATACTTTAAATTTAGTAAAATACCCTTTTTGTACTCTGTAAATTTAGGATGAAGGATTTTAGTAACACGTAATTATAATTTTGTCTTGTATAATAGGATAATAGCATGGTAATTCAATTTGATACTTGATATCTCTTTATTAAGGAATTTTRTGAATGTATCACATGCAGTAACTTGTTTCTGCTCAGTAGAATTATTTATTTTCCCTCTGTTCTAGTTGCTTATATGCTGAGATCTGCATATGAAAAAACACAGAAAAAATGTCTTTGATTTTTCTCTTTCATAGGAGTACGTCAAAGCAGGTGCCGTTATTCAAGAAGATATTTCTGAGGCTTCTCTGATAATAGGTGTGAAGAGACCCCCAGAGGACAAATTAATCCCTAAAAAGAACTATGCCTTCTTCTCTCACACTATTAAAGCCCAAGAGGCCAACATGCCCCTTTTGGATGAGATTTTAAGACAGGTAAATTGTGTCATATCGAAGACCATTGTCACTTAACATGGGGTAGGAACTGAACTTAATGCTTAAGTGTGATGAAAACCTGCTGCCTTAGTACAATTTCTTCCAGCACATGTACTTGTAGATGGCTAATAAGGACAGTCTTCAGTATCCTTTCCTGGAACCAAGTATTTTGTGCTCAGAAGATCTTGTGTTTGCAGTGTTATGCTCTTCATGTGCAGGAGGCAGATGGTTTGTGAGCATGGTGTGCTCAAGAGAGGCTCTTTCTGTCTGAGCACGAAGAGCTGTTGGAAAGTTACTAAGCTGGAGCGCACATTGGCTATTTCAGAGGAAGGCAGCCAGTCCACTCAGAAATGAGCAGCCTCTTGGCAGAAGATGTGAATAGGCCTTCAGCAGCTGGTGTGGCACATTGGGGAGCTCTGTGTCAARAGGGCATGGGCAGTGCAGAGACTCTTTAAAACAATAATTCAGTGCAACTGTCATGTTCTTATTATTATACTTAAAACTTGTTACGATATATTTGCCTTTCTTATGTCACCCATCAGCTTCTATCAGGAGGAATGTGACAGGCATATGAAAAGGTATTTTCTGGGAGAGCAACGTGCCACAGACTGCATTCACTGAAAATTTTAATACTCAGTTTACTATGTATTTTCAGGAAATTCGACTGTTTGACTATGAAAAAATGGTTGATCATAAAGGAATGCGAGTTGTGGCCTTTGGAAAGTGGGCTGGTGTAGCAGGTATAGTGCATAAAGCAAAGGCAGGCTTGCAGCAAGTAAATTCCTATAATACTTCTGGTTGTCTGCACTTCGTAAAAGTTGAAGCTTGCCATGTGTTTTTAACTGCATTTTTAATTCTTGCTTGTAACAGCCTCTTTCCAATCTGGTTTGTGCCTCATACTTTCCTGAGACGACATGTCAAATAGTCATGTGGATTCCTGACAAATCTAATATTTTATGTTGTCTTGAAGTCCTGTTTGTCCATTGAACTAATCTGGAGCAGACTAAATATCAAGAGATCAACTGATCAGGCTTTTGACAAAGAAAAGGCTGCTGTCAGTCCTGAGAGCCTGAACAACATCTGTTTGTCACTGTTACGCATTTAATGTGATTTTTGTGAAGCATGGTTCTAATTTCTTTCTACTGAACTTCAACACTCTTTCTTCAGGGGACTCTATTATTTCCTTCTTTGGAATCTGGTGATGTGGAAACACCTCCTGAAAGGATATCTGGATATTAAATAGTGTTAAAATGCATAATGAGCAAGTTTAAGGTCATGGACTACCATTAAATTTCTCCTTCTCTCTTTTTATATAGGCTTTCTTTAGAAGTAAAGTATTAATATAAAAACATGGGAAAAATATCCGGGATGACTTGAGGCTTCAGTCAGTCTCTGCAGTTTCTAAATGTGCATATTTGTAATTAACACAAATAGTCCAATTTCCTTTTTCTTTCAACAACAGGAATGATCAATATTCTACATGGATTGGGTTTACGGTTTTTAGCTCTGGGTCATCACACTCCCTTCATGGTAAGAATATGTGTGTATATATTTTTCTTTACCTAAATAACATTTTGGCATCTGCTAATTGTCTGTATTTGAATATGGAAAATATCTTGATGGCTCTGTGCCTTTGATTTCAGCACATTGGGATGGCACACAACTACAGGAATAGCAGTCAGGCTGTGCAGGCAGTAAGAGATGCCGGGTATGAAATTTCACTGGGACTGATGCCAAAGTCAGTGGGACCCTTAACATTTGTGTTTACAGGCACTGGTAATGTTTCTAAGGTAAGAATTGTCTTCAAGATTAAATGCTATATTATTGTTAACAGAAATTTTTGACATTTGGACTGTAATAGGTTAAATGGGTTGATGGGTTAATTTTGTTTGCTTGGACTTCACATTTTCCTTTGCCAGGAACAATTTTTAAGTACCTTAAACTAAAACGTTTAATATGAGATCATGCCGGACAAGACTGACATGCTACCTTCTTACTGTGAAATGGATTAATTCTTACTGCTCCTCTCTCTTTTCCTACCTGCATGATTTCTGTCCCATCTCTCCCCACTGTTGACTTTGTGCTCACAAGATATGTTGAATCACTCCATTAAAGTATGGGGARTACAGTTCAACACTTGCTGAGTTTTTATAGCTGTATAACATTGACTTGGCTTACAAGTGCTGGACTTCAGAGCTGCTTTCTGTGATCTAGGGAAAAGGCTGACCCCTGGTTTTGTCAGCAAAGACCACTTTACAAGGCTCCAGCTATGAAATGAAATCACTGCCTACATAAATGTGTTCTTCCTCGGCAAAAGGATAGTGTGTCTGAAAAGCTTTTGGTTGTGATCACAGCTCATTGGGGAAGTCTTCTTGTAGTTCTTGGCCTTTACAAGAGCCTGGCTAATGAGGAATGGCTTCAAGGATCTTTCCTAAAGAGAAATTGTTCCTCAGAGTGGCTGCAAAACCCCCTGTTGTGGCTGAGTTGAGGCCTCCCAACTCAGTCATTAGAAGCAAGAACCAAGCTTTGGATTGGGGTTTAGGCATTCTGCAGTAGTGGGAAATGATGTCAATTCCTTGCACATAATGCCCAGGCAGCTTAGTTTTGGGTAAGCAGGGGTGTGTGTGAAATAGTGTGTACATCTCTGAAGATGTTCTCTGACAGGGCTGTCAAACTGTGTGTGGCATTTCTATATTTGTTTTCAAACTCCAAATGAGCTGTGTTACATTGCATTTATGGTCTGCTTATTGTAAATCCTACTTCATGGTTTCAGGGTGCTCAAGAAATGTTCAGTGCTCTCCCATGTGAATTTGTGGAACCACATGAGTTGAAGGAAGTTTCCAGATCTGGAGGTATGCTGTGACAATAATGTGATTTCAAACATCATTGGAATTCTTCTTGCCGTAGTATAAGAGCTAATTTTTTTTTTTTTTTTAACTTCAGACCTCAGGAAAGTCTATGGGACAGTGTTAAGTCGTCATCATCATCTTGTACGGAAACATGATGGACAGTATGATCCAGTAGACTATGATAAACATCCAGAAAATTACACTTCTCGCTTTCCCATTGATGTGAGCATCCCTTCTGTTCTTTCATGAGTTTTTCCACAGAGTATTGGTAGTGACTACGCTTTTGCATATTCACCATTTGAGAGAGCATTAACGTAGAATGCTAGAYCAGGTGCTTTCAGCTCCTTAAAGTACTAGATGAGAACATCAGGCATCTGTAACTTTCTTTGCAGGTTGCACCCTACACAACTTGTTTAATTAATGGCATATACTGGGAACAAAATACTCCTCGTTTGCTAAGTCGGCAGGATACTCAGAAGCTGCTGGTGCCAGTAAAATCTGCTGCTGGTGCAACTGACGGCTGTCCTGAATTACCACACAAGTAAGAAGCCTCATTTCACTTGTAACAGTATTGCAGCACCATGATAGACTTGTAATGTTAGACAGTTTCACCACAGTGTCTAGTCAACAATTCTGTTTCCCTTACATTCTTCCTATTGCAGGTTTTACAGTGCCCCATTGACTTTGGTTTTCTGCTCTTGTGCTTTGCAGTGCTGTTTTCAAACTTTAGTGTTTTTGAAAGCATCACAGCACAAATGATTGACAGTTTTCAGCTGTCTTTCTGCAGAGGTACTTCTGCCACTGATCCTTCTACGGAATCCAATACAAACAGTGTGATATCTGGGAATGTAKCTACTCTCAAATATCAGTAGAAGTTTCTATGTATGAGCAAACTTTTTGGGAAAGTTCTTCCTAYCCTGTCATTTGGCTTGTACAAGCTCAATAACTGTTATTTCTGCAGCAGGTAGTTGAAATACTTCACAACCCTGAATAGTTTTAGAGATAGAATGTGGGGTGCAAATCAAGGGTTAGTTTCCTTTCAGTGTGGGTAGGAGCCACCCTTTCTCTAACAGCCCTATAACTGATTTGAGGAGGACATAAAAATGTATCCTGGTGAGGAATCACATCTTTTTCTCTTCTCTGCCAGCTCTTGACAGCTTTCTTTCTCTCACATGACAAATAAAGAATTTAAGTGTTAATCTTCTGTGGAGCCAGAGATTGGGCATTAGGCTAATGAATGCTCTACCTACACCTGCTATCTGTGAACTGGTAGCCTCTTCTTCACCTTTATGATGGTGAAATTGGTTTCATGCAGGACTGCCCAGGCACAGCTTGAGAGAATTGGTAGATGGAAAATGAATGAGTGGTGCTGGCAGTACATGGCATACAGAGAAAAGATCATGGCTGAATGGATTCTCCCACTCTTTCTCTATGAAATTGGATGCTGTTGATATGAATGCAAATCTGATGACTGCAATAGGGCCAAATTTCCATTTGTATTTCTGGATATCATTGTGTTTTGTTGACTTCTAAGTTGGTTGAGATGAAGGAGGCTACAAGTCAGATAGATCTTCTCACATTTATATCCTGTTCACTTGTGACCAGGATACCAGTGATTCCTAGTAATTTGTATAATGCTTCATTTAACTGTCTTTTTATTTTAATTGCTTTAGACTTCTGGCAATATGTGACATTTCAGCAGATACTGGAGGATCTATAGAATTTATGACTGAGTGTACAACAATTGACAACCCATTTTGTATGTATGATGCTGACCAGCATATTACTCATGACAGGTGGGAGAGCCCTTTTTTTTCTGCCATTGAAATTTGTAGAGTGAAACATGGAATTGAAAAAAAACATGCATTTAAAACACTTCTGAGAGGCGATACMTTTCAGGTGCCAAGTAGTACTTTAGAAGAGCTGTTTTCTCTCTTTCAGTGTTGAAGGCTCAGGCATTCTGATGTGTTCCATTGACAATCTGCCTGCTCAGCTTCCTATAGAAGCAACAGAGTACTTTGGGGATATGCTTTTCCCTTATATTGAAGAGATGGTAAGGTCTTATGTATCCAAAAAGAAGGTAAAAGGCTTAGAATTTGGTCTGCTTGTTTGTTGCTTTTCTGGTCTCCTGTATATATTCAAAAGGAATCTGCTGTAGAACATAACTGACTTTGTACTTCAAAAAAAGAAAAAAAGCTTTTGAAGTCTTGAGGCAATACATTGAAAAGGCAACATGAATGAGACATGAGTGAATGAGACCTGGATGTCTTAGGAATTTGTCAACAACACTTTCTTTAGACAGGAAACAGGCTCTGGCAGGTAGTTCATTTCTTCTGGACCCTGCCGTAGATGACTAAATTGGATTTTCTTGGGCACTCAAGTCAGACTGCTGTTTGAATTCCTGTATTTTCCTAAAAGTCAAGTGAYGCTGATTGCGGCTGGAAGTATTTCAAATGTACAAGTTATTGGTATGGTTGCATGCATTGCTTAAAAATCTTTATGTTGCTTAAAATCTTTATGTTTTACTTTGAGAAATAGTGAGTAATAAAATTATCTGATTTAAAATAACTTATCTCTACAGCTGTTATCAGACGGCTCAGAACCTCTTGAAAAACAGAATTACTCCCCSGTTGTTCGAGATGTAAGTTTTGCAATTCAGCACTCTTCTTGTCTTCCCCTGCTCTGAAACAGTTACATAAAGCCCTCAATATTTGTTTCATGTGTTTCCAGGCRGTGATTGCATCCAATGGCTCACTGACACCTAAGTATCAATACATCCAGAAATTGAGAGAGAGCAGGTAATTTATAAAGCTGCCTTGTCTGCATTCTGTCTCCCCTTTTGCATTCATTTATTCTTGTGCCTTTGTGGAATACATCTATACGGCACAGTGTCTAAATGTCTTCTAACTTGATGACTTCCTTATTTTTTTTCATGCACATTGCCTAAATCATTAACATGTGTTGTTAGTAACTTATATAGAAATTGAGAAAGTTGTAATTTTTCCACTGTTTTACCAGAGGCAGAAAGCAGCCACATGCTAGTTTTACTCCGTTAGTCCTTCCCTTTTGAGATGGCAGTAACATACAGTAACTTGAAAGGAATGGCTGAAAGCAAAAGGCTTTTGAACATATCTGGAATCTAGTTACTGCTTCCATGGCTCAAGTGGGGTGCTGTCTAGCATTGTTCTGTGACTGGATGTATTGAGGGGACTCTGAGAGTCTCAGACTTTTCATTATATTCATGTTTAGTTTATATTATATTCAGCTTTAGTTGCCACTTCTTCCATACCCTGTCACAGCAGTTATCAGCCAGTGTGAACATCTACCTTGAATGACTTAAGCTAACAAAAGTATAAATAACCTGGACATCCCTTCCCTTCCCTTCCCTTCCCTTCCCTTCCCTTCCCTTCCCTTCCCTTCCCTTCCCTTCCCTTC